CCTACTGCACACAGGGTGGTCCTACTGCACACATGGTAGACCTACTGCACACAGGGTGGTCCTACTGCACACAGGGTGGTCCTACTGCACACAGAGTGGTCCTACTGCACACATGGTGGACCTACTGCACACATGGTGGTCCTACTGCACACAGGGTGGACCTACTGCATACATCGTTGCATGGGACTCCACTAGGCCCTAGGAAGGTGGACAACTGAAGCGTAGACAGAGCCTTAGAGTCCCCAGGCACCATGAACACACAGCAGCCATGCTTCCAGGACCAAGCAGCGCTGGGCAAGGTGGCTGCAGGCTCAAGGCCAGGTGCTCAGGAGGCTGGAGGGGTTTCTAGGAGTTCTGTAAAATCCCTCAGGGAGGACAGGGGAGTTTTGCTGAGTTTTAAGGAATAAATGGGACTCAGATTAGAGGAGAAAACAATGGCGGTGACTTCAGAAAGGGAGGCAGCCAAGGGCGTGGGCAATGCATGAAGTCGGGACAAGCGCCCGCGCCGGACTCCATCTTAGGGAGGGCTGGGGAGGTGGTGGCAAGGGTGAGAGCTGAGCTGGAACCCGATGGCCACGGCCACCAGCAGAGACTCAGGACTCTGAGCAGAGAGACTGCGGGCCTAGGGCCCCCTTCTGTGGCGTAGGCTCCAGGAGAAATGCACAAGGCAAGTGCCTCCTGAGTCTCCGTAAAATGGGAAAACAGGCTCGCAGACCGTCTAGCTGCAGGGCTCTCCAGCTGTAAAAACCAGGCAGGTGGGTGCTGCCTCTCCCAGGATCCCAGCCATCATTTCTAGGGAGACTCAGTGGGCTCCATTTGCAAAATGGAGTGGGGGGCGATGGGGTGAACCACAGGCGGAGTTTGTGTGGGGCCATAACAGGTACACCGATGCCCTTCACACCTGTGTGCCACAGGCCGAAAGCCCAATGGGTCCCTACTGTCTGCAGAGTGTAGACAGCCCGTGCATGGTGACACATCAACAGACTGGTGGTCACTGTCACAGCAGTTTATCGGAGTTCACTGGTCAGCCTTCTCCAAATAACCGGGACACTGTGTCAGTGTTGCGCAGATGTGTAGGTTTCTGTGGTTTCTAGAGTAGATGGCTCCCAGGTAAGGGACGTGTGACCTGCGTGCTCCTCTCCGTGCCCCAAGACCAGCGCCGTCAGCTCAGTCACGGACACCACCTCTCTCTGCGCCTTCCCCTCTGGTGGAGTGTTCAGGTGAGTCGAGGTCTGAGGTCCACCTGTGCCCTCCTGCAGCTCTGGTCTCCCAAGCATGAGCTGCTGGTCTGCCCTGAAAGTGTTAACCCTGCCTCCCTCGCACTCATGAGCTCTGATTCCACCCTAGGACAGCTGTCTCTGTAAATAAATTTACAGGATCGGAGCACTGAAAACTCCTAACCTTATATATTAAGTCTTACAGGATTTATCAGAAAAGCATAAAGCTGTGAAATATCCCTTGTGGCCTGATGGATTGCATACATTTGGGGTCTCTCCTTTGACGTACCTTGACGTCTCTGTTCTATTCCTCCTGCCAACCTTGACTTAAAAACTCGTGGAGGTCAAAAATGGAGTCTGTTGCCAGGGACAGGTCCAGGGCCTTGATGGGGACGTGACCCACTGTTGGCCTTTTGAGTGGACTCAGAGCAGCTTCCAGATGCAGGCGCCTCAGAGCTGACACTCTGCCATCAGATGTGGTGCCTGGGCTGCTTCTCCTCCGCATTCTCTTCAAAGAACCTCAGATGGAAAAAGCGCATGCAATGGGTGCATAGCTCAGCCCCCTCAGCAGACCCCTCAAGGAACAAACGCGCTTGTGGAAAATGCGTTTCCTCCCTTCTTCAGTCTAGGGCCCTCTGAGTGTTCCAGGTGGAACTAGGTTAGACCATCTCCCCGTCAACACGTTCCCTGCCCTGGGTTCACTTTAGGGGACAAGGGGGTGAATCTTTCCATGGAAAGAACATAACAAACAGCCAGCACTAACACGGGGCTCTCCTGAGCTCAGCCCCGCAGCCCCTCTGAGCATCGGTCTTCGCTCTCAGCACGCGCGTTTTATGAAGGCAGGATTTGTGTCACTTCGTTCACTGCTGCAGCCACAGGGCCCGGGATAGTGTCTGTCCCACAGTAGGTGTAAATACATATTCATTCAATGTCAGTAAGATTCGGTGACGAAAGAGATTCTGAAAAGAATAAATTTAAATTGCCCCCGACCCCCAACCCCCCCTGCTTTGGGGGTTAGCCAGTTGTTACACAAAAAGATTGAGTGGCTTCTGTGACATCGTACGAAGCCACCCTGGAACCTGAACCTGAGACTCTGAGACCCTTTAATCTTCTCACAGCCGAGCGTGGGTGGAGCTAGGTGCTGCGGATCCTGACCTGACCGGCCCCCTGGCCTGCAAACCAAGCAGGAGGCGCCAGGGAACCGACCGGCAGGGCACGGGCTCTGTTGACTGGCGCTCAGGGTGGAGGAGACCCTTTGGTCTGGGTTAACGCAGGCGGGTCTGAAGGAGCCCCAGCCCCCTCCGGCCAGTTCTGCAGCCACCCTGGGGACCTGGCTGTCATCGGAGCCATGACTCACATCAGCGCTGTGATCAGAGGTAGAGGGCGGGAGGGCTTCCAGCTCCTCCTGTGGTGTGTGTTTCACAAACAGGATGGATGGAGAAGAGGGGAGGTGTAGTCCCACCTAGCGAGAGCGGAGAGCTGCGCAGCACAAGCGGAGCATCTCCCTTTCACTGGGAAGCGGCGTCTTCTCTGCTTGCAGGTTTGCCTCAGGCTGTGCACAGGGCAAGCTCCTTTGGAAGAATGCCTAAAAGACACTGGCGCTGGTTCTTTCAGGACAGGCTGGAATCTGTGGCTGGCCCTGGGCAGACGTTAATCAATGTGGCCCTGGAGCATGACATCCCTCCGTCCTCCATGCCCGGGGTGCAGGGCGCGTGTTCTGAGCATGCCCTCTCTGCCAGCGCCGAGCTCACTCCTCTCTCTCTGTTTCTCAGCCAAGCTATTCCTTTTCCTTTGCCTTTCTTTTTTATTCCTCTTTCTGGAAGATGAGGACCTGCCATCTTCCATCAGGGATTTGATTCTTTGTCGTGAAAACCATGTCCTGAGTCTATTTGGTAGATGGAGACAGATCAGCTTCAACTCTAAATTTTATAAACCTCTTACACTAAAATCCCTGAGATGTGAATGTGCTGTCTTAATAATTAGATGAATACACCCAACCACTGTTAGCAGCATGATGAAGGATCTAATTACATTACTTTCCATGGCTGCGCTGGCCTGACAGCCCCCATCACACATCTGTCTGTGCTGCTCTTTGTCAGCCTTACACATAGCCATCCATGTAAAAATACTTATAAAGTAACTGCTCAAACATGAAAATCACAAGGCAGGAGCTCATTAAACAAAGAAACGGCATGAACTGTGCTGTGTACTAGATTAGAACTTTAAACATTTCCTGCTAGCAGGTAAGGCATGGGCCTTTAAATACATATTATTATTCACGTTTAATCATGCACCGAATGTTCCTGCCTAATTGCTAAATGTTTTCTCTTGTGCTTAAATTTCATGCCACAGATTATTAAAAATTGACTTTACAATATTTATTTTACTTATCTTCTCAAGCCAGACTGGGCTTAGCTGATAGATTTGGTAAATTATTAATTTTTAAAGGCAATTTGTGCTACATTTTACACTCGGATGATGTCCAGAGAGACCCTGATTTCCAGTCCAAAACTTACAGAACCGAATCGCTTTGATTCATCTTTAATCTAAAGACTCTTAAAGCACATATGCAGAGATGTGAGAGCTAATGAATCCCTCTGATGTGATGTGAAAAGCTAACAAGCACTTAGTTAACATTTAGATTCATGTGATGAAGGAAGAAAACTATCATTTCCAGTAGGTTATCTGACAGTAGCCTTGGACTACATAATTCATTCTGTTCTATAACAAGAACTGCTTAGAGACATCATGAGACATGAATAAAACCCACAAACATCTCTATATCAGGCTTAATTTACTGCAGCGCCAACCTTCTGGGCTCACTGTCCCACTGGGTGCTGGCCCCATCCACTGAGGCCGTGCCCTCCAAAAAGTAGTGGCTGGTCTTGCTATAACTCGGTCTACATAGGGGAGCATATGGGTGAGCCAAGATAAACCTCTCAGATGGATGCCGCTGGATTTTTTTAAAGTGTGTAATAGTAAGTTTCCACTGTCTATGTATCGAATTCTAAGCTAAAATTATATATTAAATTGGAAGTAGATTCTTAGACACCAAAAAGGTAAAATGATTAATAAAATGAGGTCAGGAGTTTGAGACCTGCCTGATCAACATGGTGAAACCCTGTCTCTACTTAAAAAAATACAAAAATTAGCCAGGTGTGGTGCAGACACCTGTAATCCCAGGTACGCGGGAGGCTGAGGCAGGAGAATCACTCGAACCCAGGAGACGGAGGTTGCAGTGAGCTGAGATCACACCATTGCACTCCAGCCTGGCAACAAGAATGAAACTCCATCTCAAAAAAAAAATGACGTGTCACTGTACATTTTCGTGTATATTTAAGCTCCTACTTTAGTTTCATTTTTCTGGAAACGAGCATTGTCTAAATGTCCGTTTTCTTCCTCCGCCGTGCAGCCTGCATACCAAACGTCCACTCCAAAGTCATCCTGCAGAAACTTCGAAAGGCTCGAAATATTTGCTGAACTTTGGAATGCTCGTTGAGTTTAAAATCACTGTGTATCAGTGTTGCTCACCCTAAAACTGGCTAGAGTGCTGAGGAGGAAATGGTCTGGACTGGCCACGTAATAGCACCGGACTACTCCGGCCAGTCCAGGGTCCTGCGTGAAGGGCAATAGCGGAAATAACTTCCTCAAGACCAGAGGCTTCAGAGAACTGCTTTCTACTGCAGGCGTTTTTTTCCTTGTTGATGCCATTTTAATTGTTTTGTTGGTGCCCAGAAGGAAGCCTAGTTAGGTGACATTCAGGTTTCAGAACTTCTCCTTGGCACCTTGGGCCTCGTCTGCCTCTAGCCAGAGCCCACAAACAGGGAGGCTCTCCCACGGCATCTCCGCAGGGGATCAGCCAGCGTGGCCCTGGAGAAGGGAGATGGGGCTCCGGGACAGAGCAAAGCCGGGGGCAAGTCCCTGCGGCCTGCTAAAGCTGAGACCTGACCCTGACCCCACAGTGTTTCCCTGGAGTTCCAGGCGTGCTCACAGACCGCTTGAAATTCTAAGGAGACGCTTCCCCGCACCAGGACTGGGCTGCT